TGATCTCACAGAAAAATATCAAAATCACTTGAGTTGTTTAGTTTGTTTTAAGATTAAAATAACGCTTCTGCAATACTTGATCTCTTGTGTGTATTTAATTATATAACAAGTTAATCCACAGACATATTTTTTTTTATTTCATTCGTAAACAACTATGAAAGTACTTAACAAACTGAAAATAAAAAATAAAGTAAAAATAAGGCCTAGACAAGATTGTAATCTCATCGGCTTAAAATGAAATAAAAACACAAAGTAATTTGTTATATAATAAAGCAATTTAAAAATAAGCTTTTAAGGCTGTCTTCAAAAGCTGGGGTGGGTTTAAGTATTATGATATAAGATGCTAATCAACATCTATTGTACTCGATTAAAATACTTATTGGCTTCTACTCACGATTTCATTTGCATTACTGGAATATGTTCATTGACCAGGATTAAATAAAGTCCTTTTTAATCCCATATAGTACATGTGTACCAAATTTTGTTGCCATTGGTTCAGCCATTAAGGCAATAAGAGGTATTAAACAAACATACTTTTACATTTTTAATATAAGTAAGTAAATATCGGTATCTGAAGTTGCATTCTTGGTCGGTCCTCCACCGTGCGTTTTCAAGGTCTTGTCTTCCACACACAACCACTTTTTGGAATCAACTTCCACCAGCAGTATTTCCGAATCGAAACGACATAATAATCTTTAAGAAAAGAGCATATTCCTTTTTAAAAGGCCGGAAAACACCTGCAATGCCTTTGGTGTTGCGGGTGATCATGGGCGGTAATCATTTACCATCAAGTGAGCCGCATGCTCGTTTGCCCCATGTGTTATATAAAAAAAAAACTGATGTAAGGTGAGGATGAGAGCAGATCAGTTAGCCTATCATGACAAATTTAACAAGATCCACGATGGTTTCAAAGGGGAATCGCATGGAGGTCGACCTGATAGTATATAATTAATAGAAATGGGGCTTTTTGACCTCCTGAGACAGATATATGTATTAATATATATATAGATGTTTACTAGATATTAGGGTGATATTCAGCGAGCTTGAATCCCTGATTCAAGCTCATTAGACCTTCTAACTTCGACTCCCCAGAAAAGTCGATGTACCCGAAAATACCTAGAAGCAATAATTTTATAAAGTACTTTCTGAAAGCTCGAAACCAAAAAAGTTAAGTGAAATTGGAAATCGCATTGTCTAAAAATAACTCATTTATATAGGTATTGTATGTTTACGTTTTATGTCGTTACAAGCAGTTTTCTGCTCTGTAAAACGAACGGCAGCTTCGGTTGTCATATAATTAAAATGGAGTAAACAATAAAGAAAATAGAGAGAAGTGTGGACTGAAAGACGATGTAGTGACAAAAATCGAAAAAGGAATGTTGCGTTGGTTTGGTCATTTGTAGAGGATGGATGAAAGAATAATTACGAAAGAGATTTATGGAGCAAGAATGAATGGAGATGTCGATAGGGGCCGCCGTCGATAGGGGACGGACGTATGTTGACCAAATAGGCGACGTGCTGATGAAGGGTCAAATTAAAAGTACCCGTAACCGGCGAGCGTGTATGAAAAGATTGATGAATGTGGAAGAAGCGAAAGAGGTTTGTTTGAATCGAAGCATTTGGCGTTCCATTGTTTCTGCCTACCCTAATATGTATGTATGTAGATTCTTATATACTTAGTATTTTAATCACGTAACAAATTTTCTTGTATACATGAATGACATGACATATTATGTTCAAGATTTGTCTGATATTGTATTATTTGATGACACGTTAGACATGTAACCTTGACCATGTAAATGTTGCTCTCTCGAAGGGCTTTGGTATGGTTTACTTCAAATAATCTAGTACTTAATTCAAAGTAAACGAAATGTGTCAGATTTTCCATATCCAATGCTAAGCAAGTGAATACCGCTGTCAGATTAGACCATCAGGATTTTGACTTTGTATGAAGATAAAACCACTTTTCTTGGCATAGTAGTTGATAACAAGAAGTTGCAATGGGGCTCCCATATATTTGAATCGGCCAGCAGGCTGAATTTAGCTGCTTATGCTGTTAGAAAAATCCGACAATTAACTATTATTTTTTTATACTACATAGAATGGCAAACAAGCTGACGGCCCACCTGATGGAAAGTGGTAACCGTCGCCTATAGACATGAGCAGTACCATGGACATAACAGAGTATACTGTTTCGCCCTTGATACCCCCCATGCGTTGCCATTCCTGAGGACTCAGGTGTTATTCCTCTGTATCCTGTAAATTCACGCCATATCTCATCTTTCAAACCGAAACACAGCCATGCAAACACAACTGCTTCACGGTTGAAACACGAATGGGACAGAGGGATTTTTGTCGATTGATTGGTACCCAAGCAATCGACAAAAATCCCTTTATGGGAAAGGCTTATGTTCAGCAGTGGACAGTTAACGGCAGTTATATATATATATATATATATATATATATATATATATATATATATATATATATATATATATATATATATATATATTCCTTTTAAATAACCCAATATCCTCCATCATTTTGTCCATATGAATTAGTAAAAAAAAAGAGTAACAAACATCTGTAAATTTTTTTTATAAGTAACCTGGTTATATTTTTATAAGTAGAGTTTTATTAGGACAAATTTAGGAAAATGATATATTTGAGTAACAGTTTTCATTCAAATCTATTTCGCGGTTTACGCAACAATAATACAAAGTCTGCAATAAAGGAGTAGGTATGTAGGTACTATTTACCTGTAAATATTTTTACATCGCGTTAAGTCCCGATTGTGTATTTAAAATATGTGTAAACAACACGAAAGGTTTAAATTAACAAATGCAAACATAACTTAATAGAAATATCGAATTATTAAATTATTAATGTAATTACTATGACGATAAATAAATATAATGAACCGTTGATTGACAAGTTAAAACCAAATAATTTATACATTGAATAACGATGGAAACTTCGAAAGAATAATAATTTATCTTTTTGATAACATTTATAAAAAAAAAAAACTTTGCCATTATAATTATGAATTATGTATAAAAATGTTGAATGCCAAACTGGCTGAATGTGAAAGTTACTTATCGCTATTAATTTCATCCCATTATGTACCGTATTCACTGCAAATAAGATATCATTTCATTCCATCATTTCATTTCATATACATATTTGAAAATATCACATTTATTATATTAGAAGTATAGTAAGATATTCTATACAATCTACGCCACTAGGCTAAAGGCATTAATTATAAATAACAACATTTATTTTGCAACCAAACCCGAGAATGGCTCCCTGGAGCAGACTGAATTATGAATCAACTGATATATTGTTTGGCCTTACAATTAGATACTTATAGCTGGGAAAAGAAATTTAAATAAGTGAATTTAGTTCAACTAATCCTGGCGTGGCGAAATTTTTCTTTTTTTACACCACGAAGGTAGCAAACAACAGCCTTTTTTTTATACAACTTAGAATGGCAAACAAGCTGACGGTCCACCTGATATAAAGTGGTAACTGTCGTCTATAGACATGAGCAGTACCATGGACATAACAGAGTATACTGTTTCGCCCATGATACCCCCCATGCGTTGCCATTCCTGAGGACTCAGGGGTTATTCCTCTGTACCCAGTAAATTCACGCCTTTCTGATGGCAATCGATCACTGCAGCCTATGCACGTCTAGGGGTGTCTCGTGCACGTTGCTGACCCTGAAGAAACCTTAATACACTCTTTTTATAGAACCCCGCACTGTAGTCTCTAGGAAAAACCTCTGCAGGGAGCTTATTCTATAGCCTGAGCGTTTCCGGGAGAAAAATCTCCTGAAATAGCAATGTACTTGAAAATGATTTTCAATCACTTAATAATTGGAATATGATTTTCATATTGTAATAATATTTCTAAGTAAATATTGCATTGCACAAAAGTCAACTGGATTATAGTCACACAAGCTATGCCGTAAGATAGTTCTTTTTTTTTTGATGGGTGAAAATGGAATGGTAACTCCGCCTGCGCTAACGGGATACGCTGGCGGAACACCAGTGAAGGGTGATAGATGAGAATGAAAACAGGCCAGTTAGCCCATCATGATGAATTCATCAGGAATTAACCATGATAGTTTCCAGGGGGAACCGCGAGGAGGGCGACCTGGTTGGGTGTATTGTTAGCAATGGGATTCTCAGTCTCCATTACTAAAAATCCCTTTTCCCCCGCCGTAAGATAGTTAGATTTTCTTTCCTGTGATGTGCTCCTTCCATCATATCTCCCTCTATTTCCTTTTCCCCATAAATACTTTATTCCTTTTCTAGCAACTTTCCTTACTCACTCCCAAAGTCTTTTTCCTTTTTAGTCAATCCTTTCCTCCATGGACAGCGCGTGGCGGATTCCACTAAAAAAGCATTCACAAGAATGGTTGATATCAGGCAAGCGGCTGGTCGTAAAATTATTAATTGCCAAATCGTGGGGTAATATGCATAAATACATATTGTTATTTTATTATTATATGTTGATTTGGCTTCAAAACTAAATTACTGAACAGATTCTGATAATATTTCTCTGTATTACTAATCTTCAAGTACATCCTTTTACATAAAAAAGAATTTTTCAAGTCGGTGTACAACTGACGGAGTTATGAGATAACAAACATAAAAAAATATGTATAACAGAATCGAGTACACATTCTTTTTGAAGTCGATTGAAAAGTAACAAATTTTTTTTTGCATAGAACAGCGTAGATAAATATTTTAAAGATGTTTTTATTAATTTAAATGTATTTACATGAATCATAAGAATATAATATAAAAACAAAAAACCTTGAAAATCCGACAAAGGCAGGCAATTTGACTTAAACAAATTTTATTCCGAAAATGTTGGGTTATCAAATTTGCAGATAAATGTGTACGTAAATGTATTATGGGCATAGCGCCTACCGTTGATGCTGCGCTGAGTACGTGACGTCGGTACGTTAGTTTTGCTCTAACGTTCTTGGCAGGCGCTTGTGTGTACCGATACGAAAAATATATAATTTCGCGGGTTAATATATGACTTTAGAATGTATTTTATCTGTTTAATACTAATTTTTATATAGCTATCATTGCAAAAGTAAATATAAAAACGCAGGATTTTAGTGAAATAAGTAAGTTTATTGAAATTTAAGACGGTTTCGTTTTACAAAGTATGATAAACTGAAAACATGTCGTTCAAAGCTTAAAGTGTCTCTAAAAGATCTCATTACGGATTTTCTATGGGCTTAAGGTAAGTTCAGTGAATTATTTGTGTTACCCTCGTTTCTAAGCTATGTTTACATTGTCTATTTATTTATATTTATTTATGTTTTCACACTGTATTATACGAGTTGGATAGAGAGACACTTTTGATCAATTAAATGATTGTATATTTGTTTGCTAAGTAATTATTTAGAGATTAGTACGGATAAGTAATTGTTGTATATTTGTTTGTTTGTTTGTAACACTATTGTACAGTAAAGTCTTAAATTACAGGATACAATATTCTTAAGAAAATAATTAGTACAATAGCAAACTTATCTAATAAAAGGTATTTCTTCCAGTCGACCTTTATATGTCTAATAGAAATGTGAATATGTGGAGATAAAAAATAATAATTATAGCTAATTAAAAAATGAGAAAATAATAGGTGTTACAGTTACAAAACGAGGGCAACAATACTATTGGTCAACATAACACATCTAAATGATACCTTATACGTTTAAAAGGATTATATCTCTATACACAGTACTTGTAAATAAGAAGGTATATAAATCATCAAATAATTTGCTAGCAATAGAATTGGTAGTCCAGTTTTAGTAATCTAAAAATCTAAAAAAGCCCACGTGTATCAGTATGTAAAGTAATATAGGAATATGTTACTCCAGGCATAAAGGCTATATAGCCTGGATAAGATATAGATAGAATTATATATTTTACTTAAACTTACTTTACCTTATTTATATAATTAATTTATTAAATTGTTCTTTATTTTAGTGTAATTATCATTCATATCTTTTCAGTAGGTTTTGCGTGAAAGAGTAATAAACATCTATCTTTAACTACATCCTTATAAATTTTCCCATTTATAATATTAAATAGGAAAAATAGAATATAAAAAAATTATATATTTATAAATATTATAATATAATGTCTAAGCTATTTTTATTACTCCTCAAATTTTTTCTCTATAATTCGTAGAAGTTTCTCTGAATCAAATTAAATATGGTACACACGTGTACCCATTTACTTTGTAATAGTTTTTTACTCAAGTAAATACACATAATGTTAGTAGAGATTTGAAAAGTCTGGCAATTGAGTTTCTTGTAGTTTATTCCCAACAGATAGTCGCCCGACACTAAAGTGAAATCATAATAAAATTATTTGAAGTAGTTTTTAAGCTTATTCAAATAAAGTTTATTTTGTTTTATTTAATTAACATGATTTTTCATAAGTTCATCGTCCGTCCAATTGGTTGCCATTTTAAGTTGTACAAAAATTTGTTTTTTTTTTTAATATTAAGTGTTTACCAGTGAGAGATTTTGTATAAAAGTCAGCGAGGAGATATCTGTGCAACCTTTGTTTTTGCTGTGAAGCAGCTGTGCATTGCATGGTTGTGTTTCCGTATAAATGTTTGGATATGGCACTGAAATTACAACGTACAGAGTCATAACAGTTCTTAGGAATGGTAATACATAAAGGCAACATACCACGGGCGAGACAGTGTATTATTCTCTGATATCCACAGTATTGTTAGTGCCTATAGTCAATGGCCAGTTTCCATCAGGCAGGCCCTCAGATTGTTTGCTATTTTAAGTATCATAAATGAAGTTTGCAGTTGCTTCTTTCTCTCCAACGAACCGTTCGGATAGTGGCACCGCTCTTATCGCCCTCGACTCTCGCTAAGTAGGCCAGTTAGCCCATCCTGACGAATTCAATTAGAATTAGCCACGATGGTTTCCAGAGGGAACCGTGTGGAGGTCAACCTGACAGGGTATAGCTCGCATTACTAACAATCCCTTCCCCCCTCAGACATGTATTAGCTATAGCCATAGTTGATAGCTCCGCTCCTAGTTCTTTAGATGGGCACCAGACAATTCAGAGATGGGCACTGCCCAACCGGCTCTCCCATTAAACATGTCTATTAAATGTTCTGTACGAAACAGAACATTTAGCGCTTCCAAATAAAATAATCTCATCACAATACGTTGGAGTCGTTGTTAAATTATTTTTAAGCAATAAGGAATACTTTCTCAATTCGTCTGTATTTTTCTGCAACTATATTGAGCGATTCCCATGCCAATCTTACTAATGTAATAAAATAATAGTAAAATTGTTACTCAATAACTTCTGTTCATGGGAGATATTTAAGAAAAATTTACATCAGATATCTTAATAAGAACGATAAATGTGGATTATTTATTTATTCATTTTACATACTTGAAGGGCAACACAGTTTAACAGCGATTTTTGTACCACAGATAATATCTGTATCAAGTTCTAGGCTTGAATCGTAGGAATATTGTAACATTAAATACAAATTTCTTTAATACAAACACTACACACGTTAAATACAAAACTATTAAACTAAAATTAGGTGTTTGTTTTATAGTATTATTTTCATTGATTTTTTCTACTTCCGAAATCCACTAGTGGACAAATAGTTAGCATACTATAGACAGAAAACATAGTGATCAATAAAAACAAACATACACATACAAATTTTTGTACTATACTCCTATGAGAATCGATTCCACGAAGCGTTAAACCCCTACATTACCAAGGAAAATTGGTTATTTTATGGATACAATATTACCTATCAATTTATTTGTTTTGCTGACATAGGTGTACAGTTTGCCCCAATAAATTTGTTTACGTGATAAATTCTTTGTTTTTTTTTATTGGCTGTCAGCCAAATCGTCTACTTCTGATTAAGTACTTACGGCAGTGCAGATTCATACACTTATTGCTTATATAACTAACTTTTGTCCGCACCTTCGTACGCATAGATTTTAGAAGTACGTAATTACGACTCGATAGCGTATCAAGAGGAAACATATACCATATATCATTTGGAGAGGATGGATGAAAGAATAATTACGAAAGAGATTTATCGAGCAAGAATGAATGAAGATGTCGGTAGGGGCCGCCCTACACGGACGTATGTTGACCAAATAGGCGACGTGCTGAAGAAGGGCCAAATTAAAAGTACCCGTAACCGGTGAGCGTGTATGAAAAGATTGATGAATGTGAAAGAAGCGAAAGAGGTTTGTTTGAATCGAAGCATTTGGCATTCTATTCGCCTACCCTAATGGGAGACAGGCGTGACAGATATGTATGTATGTATGATATACCAGATTCTAAGTTAGACCTTAAGGAATTCAGTTTTTGCCTGTTTCCGAAACAAATATACAGATAACATAGATGTCGATTTGACAGGGTATTGCTAGCTTTATATGTCTGTGTGGTCCCAGCATAGAATAGACCACTCCTTCCATTCCCTTGGGTGTCGTAAGAGGCGACTAAGGCAGGGAAAGAGAGGAACAGCTGCGTTCCTCTTAAAACCAAAGCCTAACTGCGATTGCCAATCCGTCTGCTAACTAACGCCAAGTGGCAACTATTGGCAAAATCCCCCAAGGAGGAGGCTTCAACTATGGCTAGTTAAAGGCTGATATAATGATGATGATTGTTAGTTGGGGCTGCTAGTCCCCGTTATGAACAGTCCTTACCTCCTAGAGCGGAACATTAGGATTTTTAATTTTAGAGCACTAGGTATTAGTTTTTGGACATAAATTTTTTCGCGTGACCGGAATACGTTAATTGACCTAGATAAAAATTAGACTATGTTCTTCTTGATCCCAAATATTATGCCCGTATATTTTTTTTTTAATAGGTGATAATGGAATGGTTACCCCGCTTATGCTGTCGGTATACACTAGCGAGGTACCAGTTATGGATGATAAATGAGGATGAAGTAGGTCAGTTAGCCCATCGTGACGAATTCAACATGAATTGTTCACGATGGTTTCCATGGGGAACCACGTTGAGGTCGACCTAATAGGGCATATTGCTAGCAATGGGGCTGTCAAACTCCATTGCTAACAATCCCTTTTCCCCCCTATGCCTGTATATTAGGGATGGGTAATATATAATAATATCTATATATCGTCATGTGTGCCACGGCATAGAATGGGCCACCCCTTCCTTTCCCGTGGGTGTCGTAAGAGGCGACTAAGGGAAGGCGAGGGATGGGCAGCAGCGTCCCACATTAAATATTACCAAAAGCCAACCTGCGGTTGTCAACCTGCCTGCGTGGCAACTATTAGCATTAGCCCTTTGCCTTATGGGGAAGCTGTGTTCAGCAGAGGACAGCTAACGGTTGATACAACAATATAGGCGTATTTTACAAGTATTTGAAATAACCGCGCGAAGACGGCGCGGGTCGCTAGTAAAATATAAACAATGTTTTATTACGTACTTTATAGAACATTAAATTTGAAGTACTCCGAAATCCGAAATAGACTTTCGGGATTAAATTTAAATAATTGTCAGAAACAATTAGAAAATACATTTTAAAAAGGTCATCGGACTACATTAATTAAATTTCAGTCAACCAATTATGTATAAAGAGTGGCTACTGTCCACTTTCGTCGTGTCTTTAAGATTAAAGTCCTCTCTGTCTAATTTTTTCAGTTATTGGAGTCACTTTATAGAATTCCCAGATGTCGTTTTGGAAAGTTCCAGTGTCTGTTTTACGTATCACATCGGCTGCGCCGGCCTGGTGTAATATTTTCGAAATTTTATTTATTAATTTTCATAAGTTCTTACTAATATTATAATTGGTCGTGTGGTCCTGGCATACGAGTAGAATAGGCTATCCCTTCCTTTCCCTTCGGGTGTCATAAGGGTGGGTGGGTTAAACATCTCTAAAGCCTAACTGCGGTTGCCCATTCGCCTGCCAAGCGTGACAACTACTGGCAAAACTCTCCAAGGGGGAGGCTTATGTTCAGCAGTGGACAGTTAAAGGCTGATATTATGATGATAATACATAAAATGAAATTTGCCGCTTTAATTAAATAAAAAAAAAAAAAAAACAGTTTACAGATCTAAACAAATTTAGTTCTTCTGTAATTCTAAGATATGAGTTTTTTTTATTTGAAAGTTAGCTAGGCTGGAGAGATTATAAATGCTTAGTTATTTTTAGAAATAATTGCCCATCTATCTATTTATAGTGTCATCATGATAAAATTGCTTAACGGGGTTCAACGATAGGGGTAGATTGGGGGTAAAGGGGTGTCGTTTCTCGTCATGATTTTTCAAGTGGGTGTTTAAGACTAGACAATTGTTTACGGAAATGGGATTGGATATAGATTTTGGTATAAACCTGCCATCATTTCAAAATTAATATAAGATCAACGAGGGGGTCCCGATCAAGTCTAAAAATGCTCTTAAAAAAGTGGTTTTAAATTTGGCAACTCAATCTCGTAACATGACCACAAAAAACAGATGAATTGAGGTACTCTGTTTTTGGAAGATGGTACTACAACTATTCATGTGATGGCAGAGCCCTCTAGTGTTAAGAGTAAAAACTCTTCTAAAAAGATTAACTTCGTTTTACACAAAGACTTCTGACGCGTATTATCGGATAATGGCTTTAGTGTCTGCTGTGGGTTACGAACGGAAAAAAATTCTAATTCATTTTTGAATCTTTTAAAAATGTTCAGAAATGGATTTGAAATTTTGTCCTCCGTATTTTATTACTTCAATTGTACTTACTTATTATTATATTTTCTTTTATTTATTTTTTATAATAATATATGGGTACTGTCGCACGTTTGTACAAAATAGTCTTTTTCTTTCTTTCCCTCCTTATTTCTTTCTTTCAAATTTTGGCCTTCGATTTTAGGATTCCCGGACTCGTAGTCAAGCGTTAAACTTCCACAGCTATGTTTTTCATGTCGGTAAAACCAGTTAAAAGTTTTAATAAGTCCGTAAAAGCCATTAACATTATGTTTTCTCTTGAAAACTCATTCCACTTCTCATTGGTGAGAAGCTGAGAGAATGTATTAAAATGTATGTTCGAAGACTTATGTTATTACATAAGTCTTCGAACATACATATTTGTAATCAACTTGTATTGTTTGCTTAGGCACCTCTGTCCCATTCGTTTTTCTACCGTGAAGCAGTTGTGTTTGTATGGCTTTGTTTCGGTTTGAAGGCATTAGGCCTATGGCAGTGAATTAACAGGGTACGTAGAAATAACATCCGAGTCCTTAGGAATGGCAACGCACTGGAGGGGGGCGGAGTATCACGAGCGAAACAGTATACTCTGTTATGTGCATGGTAGTGCTCATGTCTGTAGGCGACGGTTACCACTTTCCATCAGGTGGGCCATCAGCTTGCTTGTCATTCCAAGTTACATAAAAAAAATTAACTTGTATATGGTTCTTTTTATTGGGTAAAAATGTAATGGCCTGACATTAGAATTATAACTAAATAAATGAGATAGATAAATAGATACTCTTTATTGTTTCCTCCAAAAGATTACAATAGTGAACTTATTATAAATATAAACAATTACAAGAAATAATCACAATGAGAAAACAATGGGCGACCTTATCACTAAAAGCGAGAATAAATTAGTGAGAGATGATGGCCGAGGATGAAAATAGATTAATTAACTCATCGTGACGAATTTTACAAGAATTAACTATGATAGTTTCAAGGGGGAACCGCGTTGAGATCGATCTGAAAGAGTATATTGCTAGAAATATGACTGTTAAACCCCATCACTAGCAATCTCCTTCCCCCTTGTGAATTTGGAGTAAAGTAATCATAAGCCTCATTTTTTTGGAAATGAAGGGTTCGTACAAAATTCTTCCGCGTGGGTGCCTCTGTACCACTTATATTTCTGCCATGTAGCGTTACATAGCAGCTGTGATTACAAGGCTGTGTTTCGGTTTGATGGGTAGAATAATGACAGTGAAATTAGAGGGCGGTATAATGCATCAGTCCTCAAAAATAGCAACACATGGATATATCATGATGTTCATCATGCCATTCATGTTCATACATAGGTGACGGTTATCATTTTTCATCAGGTGGGTTCAATTTCCATTAGATTGTTCATAGTTCAGGTTTTTATTAAAATGTAGATTCAAAGTATTACAGGAAATAATGAATGAGTATACATTATTTGCATTATACAATATAGAGAATAAGCGAGACAATTAACAACGATACAATTGTATAAGTACAGTAAGGCGATCTTATTGCTGAGAGCAATCTTTTCAAGACAACCTTAGGGTTATACACTAATTGTGGTACAAGTAGGTATGATTTTTTTTATCTTTTTTATTTAGAGGCTTTTATCCTATAAGGATATGTCAGCCTCATCATACCCTAATTTTATAAAATACGTCACATACTTAAAACATTGATACATAAATAAATAATACATAATATCTTAGTACTCTATTTTCGTAAAGGGAATTATTGATGCAAAAATATAGTAATTAAAGATTTTGCCATTCCGGAATGTAGTTCTGCGAGTATATTTGAAAACAAACCAATCTCCTGTCTATTGAGACTATATTTCTGTATCAATACTTCCTTTTTTGTTTTGTATGTCGTACATTCAGATATCATATGATGATGAAGTAGGTATTGTATAATTATGAAAGTTAACAGCAAATAAATATATAGTTTGACTATTTTAAGGTTCCATGTTATTCCATAAGGTAATATTTAATATTGGAATACTCGGCAGGATGACGTCACAAACGTTGAAGATTGAATCGCGCTCTCTGTGCACCACGCCGTCTGAGAGATGCGACCAGCCAGTCACCGTCAAAGTGGGGTGTCTCCACATCAATCCAGCTACCACGTTAGTAACCACCATTTACATCATCTAACGACATTGGTGGTATAGCAGTTTAACACACTCTCTCATTTTCCAATGGTAGCAGATTCGATTCCTGCACAATATTAAGATTTGTATTCATAACTATGTCTATATGTTGTTAGTCTGGTGTTTTCTGTATATCATGTACATTTATTTATAGAAAAAGTGCTATGTGCTCCCGGCATAGTATAGGCCAACACTTCCATTCCTATGGGTGTCATAAAGACGACTAAGGGAACTTCATGGTCGAGGGATGGAGCTTCCCTTAGTCGCTTTTATGACATCCACAGGACTTTCCTCTTATAACCTAACCAAAGCCTAACTGCGGTTGCAAACCCGCCTATTAAGCGAGGCGACTACTAGCAAAATTCTTCTTCTTTATGAGGAAGTCTTATGTTCAACGACTGATATCATGGTAATGATATACTTTCAGATTTTTTTTGATGGGTGAAAATGATATGGTAACCCCGCCTGCGCTAACGGGATACGCTGGCGGAGCACCAGTGAAGGGTGATAGATGAGAATCAAAACAGGCCAGATAGCCCATCATGATGAATTCATCAGGAATTAACCATGATAGTTTCCAGGTCGACCTGGTTGGGAATATTGCTAGCAATGCGATTCTCAGTCTCCATTACTCCAATCCCTTTCCCCCCTATACTTTCAGATTGGTCTATAGTTTTATTTTTAAACTAGCGGCCAGTCCCGGCTTCGCACGGGTGGACATTTTTACATTTTAAAAAGTGGCCACTAAGGCTGCACGCGCGACGGAAGCTTAAAAATAAAGTAACTTCTCCCGTATTCCCCAACATTTCCCTTCATTGCTCTGCTTATATTGATCGTAGCGTGATGAAAAGTATACTATAACCTGCCCAGGAGTATGAAGAATAATTGTACTAAGTTTCGTTAAAATCCATCTAGTAGTTTTTGTTTCTATAATGAACATACAGACAGATAGACAAAAATTTTACTTATTGCACATTTGGCATCAGTATCGATTACTAATCAACGCCTGATAGTTTTTTTGGAAATATATTTCATGTACAGAATTGACGTCTCTACAGATTTGTTATAAGTATAGTTTAAAAATAAAAGCTTGTAAAAATACTTGTTTATCTCATAATTGTCAAGTTTGTTTTTTTTGTGGAACGTAATCTTAATTTATAATTGCCCTTTATGTATATAATTTATATACCCCCCAATGACAAAGGTAGTCCATGGGAGAGGCTTATGTTCAGCAGTGGACAGTAACAGCTGATATGATGATGATGATCATCATCATATAGTTCATAGAAACAAAGGAGATTTATTAAGTGTTCCGGAACTAGGTATAATATTAAAAGGTTTGAAACCACTGTGCTAGCACACGTGTTTGTGATTTAGTTCTTAGCTGTTGCATACTGGATATCAGAACTTTTTCAATATTGCTTTATAATCTATCGTGTTCTATATATGAATAGTTCACGATCTTGGTTTAAATTTCGAAGCTTGAAATTGGGATTAATCTATTAGTGCTATAAATGCAAAAATTTGTAAGGGTGTATGGATGTATGTATGGATGAAAGGATGGATTTGTTACTCTTTCATGCAAAAACTATTGAACAGATTTTTTTTATACCACTGATTTGGCAAACAAGTATACGACCCACCTAATGGTAAGTGGTTACTGTAGCCTATGAACGCCTGCAATACCAGAGGTATTACGCGCGCGTTGCCTACCCTGAAGAAACCTCTTTACCCCCCTTTTGAAGAACCCATGCTGTCATCTCTGGGGAAAACTTTGGCAGGGAGTTCATACCTTAACCCGAGTGTTCGTGGGAGAAAACATCTCTGAAACCGCATTGTACGTGACATGAGGCTGTAGGGTAGATTTAACATGTTTGACATAATTTGGCACACTTATAGAGGGAGATACCTTTACCAGAGGGAGACTTTGTACAAAAGTCGAATGCTTGGGTACCTCTGTCCCATTCGTGTTTCTACCGTGAAGCAGTTGTGTTTGCATGGTTGTGTTTCGGTTTGAAGGGTGGGATATGGCGTGAATTTACAGGGTACAGAGGAATAACACCTGAGTCCTCAGGAACGGCAACGCATGGGGGGTATCATGGGCGAAACTTGTATGTGTGTGTTATGTCCATGGTACTGCTCATGTCTATAGGTGATGGTTACCACTTTCCATCAGGTGGGCCGTCAGCTAGTTTGTCATTCTAAGTCGTATAAAAAAAATTATAGGTTATATTGCAACTTATTATGATATTTTATGTTATGTAACCTTCAAGAAAAGAGCATGTTCCTTTTTAAAAGGTCGATAGCATACCTGCAATGCCTCTGGTGTTGCGGGTGCATATGTGCAGCGGCAGTTATTCAGTATTTTATTTTAATGTGTGATAATGGCATGGTAATCTGTGCTATTGGTATACGCTGGCGGGGTACCAGTGAGAGGTGATAGGTAAGGATGTAAAGGCAGGTTAGTTAGCCCATCGTGACGAATTCAACGATATATTAATCACGATAGTTTTTTTTTGATAGGTGAAAATGATATGGTAACCCCGCCTGCGCTAACGGGATACGCTGGCGGAGCGCCAGTGAAGGGTGATGAATGAGAATGAAAACAAGCCAGTTAGCCCATCATGATGAATTCATCAGGAATTAACAATGATAGTTTCCAGGGAGAACCGCGAAGAGGTCGACCTGGTTGGGTATATTGCTAGCAATGGGATTCTCAGTCTCCATTACTAACAATCCCTTTCCCCCCAGTCACGATAGCTGAATTGTTTATATGTCATTGTTTATTTTATGTTTTTGATGCAATAAAGAGTTAAATAAATAAGAAGTTTCCATTGAGAACCGCGTGGAGGTCGATCTGATAGGGTATATTGATAGCAATGGGGACTATTACTAACAATCCCTTCCCCTTAGTCATTTAGTATAAGGTGAGCCACACATTTGTTTGCCCTCTGTGTAATAAAAAAAAAATTGAATTTACGTGAACGAAGTCTTAGGTTATATCTAGTACCATATATAGTAATTTTGTAAGAATATACCATAATAATAATAATAAGTGCCGTGTGGTCCAGGCATAGATAGGACACCCTTTCCTTTCCCGTGGGTGGCGTAAGAGGCGACAAAGAAAGGGCGAGGGATGGGCACCAGCGTCCCTCTTAAACATCTTCAAAGCTTAACTGCGGTTGCAAATCCGTCTGTTAAACGTGGCAACTACTGGCACAACCCTCTAAAAACTCTTATTTTAGTTTAAAAATTAAATTATTGAGTCGATTTTGATAACATTTCTATGGAAGAAATTTGTAAGTATATTTATTTATTAAATTTAATATATACTTAGAAAGTGTAATATGGCGTTATTTACCCGTCGACCGTAAACAGGAATAACAGAAAATCTAATTGAAGGTATAATGTAATGAGCAATATTAAATTAATACAATAATTAAAAAAATACCATATTATATAATATTCATATATTCTTTCAGATAAAAAAATCCAAATCAGGTTAGAACTGACGAAGTCATGAGGTGACAAATTTAAAAAAAGAATAAACCGAATTTAGAATCTCCATTTCGAAGTCAGAAGAAAGTATCTTTCTTCTATTTATAATAATAATGGAAACATGAAATAATTTAATGTAATAAAATACTATAGGAGTCACAAGAAAATTACGATAACATTCAGCTGGGCGAAATTTCAATCCGCCTCCTAAAAATATCCCTAGATATTTCTAAAAGTAAAAGGAAATCCCCCAGGAAATATTTTTAAAAGTATAAGATTTAATAGTCTTTTTTTACGTTCGAAAATAGGCAATTATATTTGTAATATATTAAAAAAATATTGGATGTTCATCTTCCCATTCGTGTTTCAACCGTGAAGCAGTTATGTTTGCATGGCTGTGTTTCGGTTTGAAGGGTGGGATATGGCGTTAATTTACTGGGTACAGAGGAATAACTCCATGGTACTGCTCATGTCTATAGGCGTCGGTTACCACTTTCCATCAGGTGGACCGTCAGCTTCTTTGCCATTCTAAGTTGTATAAAAAAAAATCTTTGTACTTTGGTTTTCGCCAGGGCCGCAGCTAGATACAAGCTTAAGGTAGGGCAAAAGAACTATTTGATAGGGCAGAACACATAAGTAAGTGACTTCGAAAAAGCGAATCTGTCTAATTTCCTTGGGGCCTTTCATTTTAAGGTAGGGAATTGCCCCTAAATGCCCCCCCCCCTACCTACGGCCATGGCATTCGCGTTTCGATTTTTACCAAAACAAGTTATTCGCGGTGCTCACGAAGCGTTTACATATTGATTTGTGTATGTATGGTGTTTACACGTGAACGATTTTTTCCTATTAAGATAAGTTTAAAGAAGTGAAAGGGAGACGACGAGTAACATTAGGAAGTATCGTGATGTATATTAAGGTACATATTTATTTATTTATCTAAAGCACAAAATACGTTGTATACGATAGATAATATATAACAACATTGGATTAACAGGATTTACCTATTTAGGGAGCAGGGTTTTACCTATATTTAAAATGTATAATTTATTTTTAAATAAATTATTATTATTAAATTATTATTATTAAAACATTATAAATTAAAATCACAGTTCATTTAGGGTCAAATACAAGTAATTTTTTTTATATATAATCAATACAGATATTTCATATTTATATATGATTTCTCTCTCTCTCTCTCTATATATATATATATATATATAAATATATATATATAGATATGACTATCACAAAATTGTGGAATAACCTCTAAGTATAAAGCTAGAATAAGATAGAATATCTTCATACATACTCCATACAATTTTGAGTGATAAATAGTTATGGGTGATTCCTTTATAACATCAATATTTATTTTGTCCTATAATTTCTGCGTCTTTTTTATGTTTAAAAACTAATTTTATTTTTTAAATAATTAAATATAGATACGTCATTGAGTGCGTAAATACATAGAACATTAAAAA